TCTACCACCGTTTAACCGGTGCGTGGGCATTAAGTCTTTTTTCTCTGCCACCTTTCCACCGGTAGCTGGGCGTTACGTCATTTTTCTCTACCACCGGTAAAACGATGGTCAGGGCTTAAAGGGTTAAGAATGGAGGGTTGGCTTGGCTTGGCTAGAATGTTCGTTCTAATTGTACATTATTTCTAATTTCTTTCTTTTTTTTTGGTAAAAGACCGCTTTTAGTTGTATCATGAAAACTGCTATACGAGGTCTGATAAAAAATTATCAGGAATATTGCTATGCGAATTACAGTACGCAGAATGAAGCCGCTTGGCACCTTAAAGTCTGTCGCGGACGCACATCAATTTATAACATTCTCGCTCACTTCCGTAGTTTTTAACAGTGCTTGGAAGGAAAGTGTGTAGAGTGTGGTCGCCTCATCATACCATAGAGAACCGTTTGAAAACGGTCATAGAAATGACGAATCGCGTGTCTTTGACTATGACCGCGAAACCAAAGTTCAGTCTTCGTAGTGGAAGACAGCAACCTCTCTGAGGCTGAAGAAAAAACGAATGAGTCGAAGCAATGTGAACAAAATGTTAACATCATGTGTATGCTCGACTTAGTCATACAGTAAACAAAGAGTATTACCGTGACGTGTTGCAGCGTTTGTGGGATGCTGTTCGTCGGAAAAGGACAGGATTGCATGCGCCCGGTGAGTAGCAACTTCACCATGACAGCACACCTGCTCATTCGGCGCAGTTTGTATAGCAGATTTTGGACAAGCACAACATTATTCACGTCTGACAACCACCATATTCTCCAAAGCTCCCCTTTTGCGACTTTTTTCTCATTCAAAAAATCAAATCCCACTTCAAGACGTCAAAATCCATGCGAATACGACGCGGCAGCTGCTCGCTATCCCCCCCCCAAGGAATTCCAGGAATGCTTGCATCACTAGATAAATTTGGATAAAGTGTGTGGCTCCAGGAGGGTAGACTTCAAAGGAGATTAAATACCGAATCGATATGTATTGTAGTTTTTATTCATAGCATTTGTCCCAATAATTTCGATAAGACCTCGTATATTCTTGAGTTGTTAAATATTTTCTTTTGATTGTCGTTAGATGTTGATAGGAATATTTAGATTTTCCCTTTTTTTTTAATCGTTTCGCCCGAAGGAAGGCGATAATGCCACTAAGATGCAGTGAGCGGAGGGAGGTGCTGCATGGAGTGAAAGTAAAAGAGAACACTGAAAGGGGCGGGGTGAGGAAAGGACAAAAAGGAACAGGGTTCAAGAAAACGGAAGATGACGATCAAGTTTTGAAGATTGTAGTTATCAGGGGAGCAAGAAAAATCGAAAGGGAGTTCCACAGGTAAGAGGTGCGTAAAAGAAACTGCTGGAGTAGAAATGGCTGTTGCATCTAGCTAGTTCAACAGTAAAACGGTGAGACCCAGTTGCCAAACTAGTAGCACGCTTAAATTCATGTAGTGGGGGTACCAAGAAAAAAGATCTTCAGAGTAGTTGTCATAAAAATATTTGTAGAAAAGAGAGATGGGAGTCAGGTCACGTCGGTGAGAAAGTAACCGAAGTCGAGATGTTTTTTCTTGTTTTTTTTATGTTGTTAGTACACTCGAGATGTACAGCAGGAGCACCGGACCAGATATGGCTGCAGTATTCAATGCACGGACGAATGGTAGATTTATAAATGTGCAAGATGGAATCTGATGAGAAAATTCTATTACGATCTTTTTTTTTTTTTATATCAGATGCTTTTATTAAAAATTGTGAAAATAGGCGTATTAATTCTAATATTGAAAATATAAGAAAATAAACATTTTCAAATGAATATACTTTTTTTTATTATGAATCTAAAAACGACACTCTATACGGTTTATGGAGAAATTACTGGGAATATGATGTCGCTGGATGACTGTCAACCGACACCTGTTGAACATGTTTCATCTAACCAGGCGAGGTGCAAGGCAAGCAAACGAGGAAATATAAAGAAAAATATATAAAATTAAAAAAAATTAAAATTCAGCGTTCCCATATCTTCAGCACTCACCCTCGGTACATAATTATAACCGACACCCGCGTTTATAACTTCCTATTCTACACATATATTCCATAAAAAAATACTTTAGTCTGATGAAGTCCTTCTAAAAGACGAAACGCGTTAAACAGAATTCGTCCATTTTGTCATTCGACTGCCTAATATATATATATATATATATATATATATATATATATATTCAAACGTTATTATACTGGATACTTCGTAATTGAAATAGACGTCCCCTTTTTCTTTATTACATATTACGTTACGTATTACGTCCATCGGTCGGGGCATTTGAAAAATCTTAGTAAAGAAAATGGCTTCTCTGGCAGGAATCGAACCTGTGTCCCCCATGTCGGATGTGCTTTACCACTCGACCAAGAAGCAAGCATAGCTTTGTTCTCCTTTTTTTAAGGAAAGTACATCCATTTCTCCCAGATTAGTTTTACCGGAATGTCATGTCTGCTTTGTTTCATATTCCAAACGTAAACAAAGCAATTTCTAAATACTTAATGGATTTATTTTGAAATCCTACATTGTTATTACTTCAAACGTTATTATAATCGACTCTTCATAAACCCATCAATTCTTTATATATATATATATATATATATATATATATATATATATATATATATATATATGTATATATGTGTGTGTGTGTGTGTGTGTGTGTGTATGTGTGTGTTTTAAACAATAAAATGTATTAAAAGATAAAAATTTTAAGACACATTGGGTGTATATTATTATATATATATATATATATATATATATATATATATATATATATATATATATATTCGTTTTTATTATTTCAGTTAGGTTCCTCGACTAGTTTCGGCCAGCATGGCCATCATCAGAAGAAAAATAATCCCTGCTTATTAGTTGCAGTGAACCATAGCAGTAAATGACTATTTCTAAAGAAAGTGAATTTTTTTGTAGATTGCATTCGTTTTTTATCGTTAATTTTGGTCAGTCCTTTTGTTGGTCAAACAGCCTTTTTCAAGTTGTTTTTATGATAGAGGATGGGAGATTCCCGACTTTCAGAATTTTCTCCTTGGTCATTTTGACAGTTTTATTGGGTTGTATGCGTTAAGTGTATGTTATCTTTCAGTTCTTTGGGAGTGTGTGTATGTGTATATATTTTTATGGGTGTGTATATAAGTCTGAAACCTCAACACCTCTGCAAGTATGTCTGTCATGTGTGAGTGAGAAATGTGGGTAGGGTTTGGTTTATGATTAATTCTGTGTTGTTAAATTTGTGGTTAAGCCCGTCTGGATAAATGGTTTTGGGGTGCAAAATCTATTTGTTTTCATGTTCCTATTGTATTTTTCTAAGCTTATCTTTTCTGTCTGTTATTTCTACTTTTTCAGTTATAGTGAATTTGGCTTTTAAAATCATGTTTTCTAGGCGGAAAGGTTGTTCTACAGGTAATTGATCCAATTCCGATAATTATTAATTCTTTAGTGAAAGGGTCATTCAGATTTTCCCACATATTGTTTCTGGCATAGTGTGCATTTTAATAGGTAAATTATATGTTAGGACTTCTACAGTTAGAGTTGTGGTAGATTTTCAATGTAGATTAGTGACTGACCCAGTGAACGAACTGGTATGTCTAACACACACACACACACACACACACACACACACACACACACACACACACACACACACACACACACACACACACACACATATATATATATAAACAGAGATCGAGTTGGATCTGGTCAAGATCCAAGATAAACAAAGTTAATTAAAATCATAATCGCAAAGCAATGCTACTTCCGACATGAAACATATCTATTTACCTTCCTTCCTACAACATTGATAACAATCACTACGAATGCCTTGTGTAATGGTTAACAATCAAATGCAAATTCTTTTAACACATGCAGTTGCAAAAAAAAAAATCGCAAGAGACTGACACGTCTACACAAACAACAATACTCTCTCTGGTGGCAAAAACTGCTGGTGGCGCCTGGGTGGCAGTACGGTCTTATCCACTGAAACTGTTTTACCTCACCTAGTTGGCGGCTGACGAGGACAGAGTATCACACATGCTTTCACACGCTGTATGTTTAAAAAATTATAAATAGCAGAACAATTTTAGAAAAAATATAAACTCTATTATAAATACAATTGAAAATAATTTATCTAACATAAAATTTGTTACAACTATTTCTAAAGCAATAAAAGAATTAATACAAAAGTAATTTACTCTATCAGCTATAATAATTGCCACAAGGAATGCATCGGAGAAACCTCAAGGAATTTAAATAAAACTTTATGTGAACATAAAAGGGATCTTTTACAAAACAATACACTAAATGCATTTAGTGTGTTGTATTCTTTTCTCACTGTTGTGTTTATTTAAGGTTTCCTTCTGTTGTGGGCGTACATCGCACCTTTCCCAGTTTTGTATCAAACCGAAGCCAACAGGAATTGAAACAAAATGTAGGTGATTTGTCCAGTCGGGGAAAAAAATAAAACTAAAAACGTGTCCCGGTTCTATGTTTACAGTTGTAACAGCCAGTTTCGCTTGATTATCTCTAACAGTTATTGTCAAGTGTAGTTCGTTTCGTTTTATTACATGTCTTATTTTACATTCCTTGTTTTGCTTTATTGTTACTTTGATGTAGTTTAAATTTAACTACACGCCCTAGCGTTTACAAAATTCCATTTGCTACAACAGCATGCAGATATCCTTTTTGTTCTTCCAGTTTTGTATTTTGAGTTAAAAATCATTTTTTTATTTATTTTTTCTCTTCGTTGATGTTGACGTCTGTTTCAAAAACAACAATTCGTTTCTTATTTGTTGTTGTTTTTTTTCTAAGTCTAATTTATTTTTGTGTAGAAATTCTTTCCGACATTGTGATTACATACCTCTTTTGTTTAAAGGTTCGAAAACACTTGTCTTGTTTTAAATGTTTTCCAATTCTGTCGCTTTCAATTTAAAAGAAATATCGTCAAGCTAAAACCTTTTTTTTTTTATATCTTTTTGTTGACATTTTCTCTTTTGCGCCGAATTTATTTTATTCTTTTCTTTTGCTTTAATTCTTTTTTTTCCGTTATTTTTTCTTTCCATTTTTTCTCTCCTTTTTTCATTTCTTTCTTTTTCTTCCTTTTCTTTTTTCTTTTTAATTTGTTTTTTTTTGCCTTCATTTCTTTCTTTGTTTCCGTTTGTTTTTTTCTTTAACAACTAAATTAAGAAAAAGAAGTAAAAATTTCACTCCATTCTCTTTCTTTCTTTCTTTCTTCATTTATTTCAGTAGAAGAGGGAATATTCATTAGGCATACGAAAGAAAGAAAAAGAAGTAAAAAATTCTCTCCTCTGTCTGTCTGTCTTTCTTTCTTTCTTTCTTTCTTTCTTTCTTTCTTTTTTTGGTACAAGAGGGAATATTCATTAGGCATACGAAAGAAAGAAAAAGAAGAAGTAAAATATTCTCTCCTCTGTCTTTCTTTCTTTCTTTCTTTCTTTACAAGAGGGAATATTCATTAGAGATACGAACGAAAGAAAAAGAAGTAAAAAAATATCTATTCTTTCTTTCTTTCTTTCTTTCTTTCCTTCTTTACAAGAGGGAATATTCATTAGGGATACGAAAGAAAAAAAGAAGTAAAAAATATCTCTTCTTTCTTTCTTCCTTTCTTTCTTTCTTTCCTTCTTTCCAAGAGGGAATATTCATTAGGCATACGAAAGAAAGAAAAAGAAGTAAAAAATTCTCTCCTCTGTCTTTCTTTCTTTCTTTCTTTCTTTCTTTCCAAGAGGGAATATTCATTAGAGATACGAGAGAAAGAAAAAGAAGTAAAAAAATATCTATTCTTTCTTTCTTTCTTTCTTTCTTTCCTTCTTTACAAGAGGGAATATTCATTAGGGATACGAAAGAAAGAAAAAGAAGTAAAAAAATATCTATTCTTTCTTTCTTTCTTTCTTTCTTTCATTCTTTCCAAGAGGGAATATTCATTAGGCATACGAAAGAAAGAAAAAGAAGTAAAAAAATATCTCTTTATTTCTTTCTTTCTTTCAGTACAAAAGGAAATATTCATTAGGCATACGAAAGAAAGAAAAAGAAGAAGTGAAAAAATCTCTCCTCTTTCTTTCTTTCAGTACAAGAGGGAATATTCATTAGAAATACGAAAGGAAGAAAAAGAAGAAAAAATTTCTCGCCTTTTTCTTTCTTTCAGTAGAAGAAAGAGTATTCATTAGAGATACGAAAAAGTAAACATTTCTTTCTTTCTTTCTTTTAGTACAAGAGGGAGGCTTCATTAGAGATACGAAAGGGTGCAGGCAAATTTTCGACTTGAATCGATTCCCAAAATCTGAGCAAATGTCGGATTTTTGTTTTGAAGGTTTCTTGTTTGGGCAGGTAACTTTTGTAGTACCCCCGTACAATAAAACAATTAAAATTTAACATTTAGCATAATTTCCCTCTACTGAATTCATAGTGTCAGAAAAAGAGAAAAACATAAATAAATAGTTTACAATTAAACTAATAAATAAAAATGAATTTTACTCGAACCGCCCTTCATCCACAACAACAAGCGCCTAACTGCTTATGGGAGGCGGTTGGAAATGTCTGTGAAGTAACAGGTAGTTTCACTCGGTGCGACGCAGATATGTCGACCTAATCAAGGACAAAATCAAATTTTTCGGACAGAGAGTGATATTGACGGCTGACAAGATGGGTCAAGACAATTGAAACCACCAGATTTCTTTAAAAAAATAAAGGAAAGTTGGAGATGAATGGTAACCCGGTGGAATTAAAGTATTAATTTTTTTTTTCTTTTGTCATTTAAGTTATGAAAAAAACAAAAATGTCTCCAATTTTTTCGGCATTAAATGATTTACTGTTTCCCCTTCTGGTGAAAGTCCTGGGCATGACGATAAACTACATCCGGCAGCAAGGCCTCTGATCAGGAGATTGGAAATTTTGAGAAGCGTGGAACCACATCTTAATTGCTGTTGTTCCCTGTCTACCCTGATATGGGGTGGTAGCATCTGTTAGGGTCCCAGCTATGGGCAAATCGTGATCGATTCAAAATGAAGTAAAAAAAAAAAAAAATGAAATTATAGCTTAAAAAAATAAAAAAAATAAATTACCAGCAATAGATTTTGTAAAAGAAAAAATTACTCAAACTCCATGGAAAATTAAATTCCGACATTAAATGGCCCATAAGGGGTCGATATGCCGTTAAACAAACAAACCGTTTTCTATCCTAAACGTTCTCATAATAATCTCTTACATCCTCCTTCCTAACATTTTCACTAAATAACCTTCTACCTTGAGCGGCTCTTGGGCTTTGTATTAGTTGAACTATCAGTAAATTAAAAACATACATTCTAACATATGGCGGCATTTAGAAGAAGATAAAGTCAAGAAACTGGGTGTTTGGTTTCCATACACTATTCGGGAAAGCAACTTTTGATAAACAAAAAAGTCAGTGTGGACATATGAATCAATAGTGCATAATAGTCTGGTTCACGCCTCCATGCGATCTACAGACAAAGTTCCACGATTATTTTTAACAGGCTTTATATAGAGACCAATAGGATTATTAAAATATTTAAAAAAAATACTATTACTGTGGCAGATGTTACATTTAGAGCCACCAGGTAGGATCCGCCATGCCGCCATGGTGACAAACCATTCCCAATCACTTCGTGTTCCTTTGTAAAAAACAAGTTCCACTCAGACATCTTTGTGGAGCAAACTCCCGAAGGAATGCTTCCTTGATCTCATTAAGACATGTCAGTAAATCATTATTATCCCACCGAAATATTTCTGGCTTTAAATAACCCGCAAAGGGTTGGTAAGTCATCGAAAACGAATTAATCGATCAATCAATATGACTTTGTGGAACAAACTCCTGAGAGAATGCTTCCCCGACAACTACAATCTTGGTCGCCCTCATAATACTCTTTTACTTTCTCCTTTCTTACAATTCAATTCAGTAACCCTCTACCTTGAGCGGCCCTTGGGCCTTGTATTAGTTGAACTATCGGTAAATAAAAAAATTCCTATTACTATGGCAGATATTATATTTCTTAGAGCCACCAGGTAGGATCCGCCATGCCGTATTCACGGTGACAAACCATCCTCGATCTCTTCATATTACTTTATAAAAAGCAAGATCCACTCAGACTGCTTTGTGGAGCAAACTCCCGAGGGAATGCTTCCCTGGCAGCTACAATCTTGATCTCATTAAGTCCAGAGTCAGACGATATATATCTGAATTGCTCTCACACTCTCTTACTTCCCCGGTCCCTTGCAATCTCACTCGACAACCCTCCAGCTTCAGTGGTAAGTTGGCAGCCAGTCTAAGAGGACTACTTTGAATTTAAAAATCCGTGGAAAAAGCAACGAAAAACCACTACACTGTATTTCACAAGAATCTAGGGTAATTCACAGATAATAAAGAAAAAGAGATCTGTGGAGAGTCATTGCCGCCTACACCCTGAAGACGCCATAAAAAAAATCCTTTCGGCTGTCGGGTCGCAATCCAGTCTTGCAGCAATTTCTGTTGAATGTTTCGATATTGTTCTTCAATATATTCTCAAAGGATAAATTACCTCACACTGGGTCGACTGAGGGGAATAACGGAAAAACTGTGTTAGTGCTCCCAATACCTAAACCTGTTAATTTTCAACTAGATATCGATGACGATGAAAAGGGTATTAACGACTGATAGACATGTGGCCTTAAGGGTCCTCAAATCATTTTTTTATTCTTTGTTCAGTGCTGGAGGTTGATAGCGTCCTTCACTGGGTAGGCCGTTGGGAACTCGTCGAAAGGAATTGCCTGCAAACAGCTTCTACATTTCCACAAATGCAAAGGTTTTGATGAACATTTTGATGGATTGACGAAGGAGAAAGGCAAATTATTCCAGGAGTTTGTGCATTATCTGTCTTTTGTTCTGTCTTATTGACTGATGAACAGAGTTTACAAAATAATTTGCACTGTTCAACAGCAAGTGGAAAGTCGATGATGACAACCGCGTAATTAATTCAGAAGATCAATTCTTTAGGTAATTAATGATAATTCATTAGATTACATTTCTTAGCTTTTGAGTCTATTCGTTAAAAAAAACTTGATTCTTCAAGGCGAGGAGAGAAAATATCGGAATAGTTTTTCTTGTAATTTCTTTCTTTCACGCTTATTCATTTCTCCTTACTTTCTTTTATTCTTTCTAAGATTGTTAATTTCTTTCTTTCTTTCTTTCTTTCTTTCTTTTTTCTTTCAAACTTGTTCATTTCTCTTTCCTTTCTTTCTTTCTTTTTTCCAAGCTTATGCATTTCTCTAAAATTTCTTTCTTTCTCTCCAGATTGTTCGTTTCTCTTGTCTTTCTTTGTTTCTTTGTTTCTTTCTTTGTTTCTTTGTTTCTTTCTTTCTTTCCAGATTGTTCGTTTTTCTTTCTTTCTTTCTTTTGTTTTTCTTCCTTCTTTCTTTTCTTTTCTTTCTTTCTTTCTTTCTTTACAAGAGGGAATATTCATTAGAAATACGAAAGAAAGAAAAAGAAGAAAAATTCTCGCCTTTCTCTTTCTTTCCTTCTTTATGTAAATCTTGTTCATATTCTTTCTTTCTTTTTTCTTTTTTCTTTCTTTCTTTCTTTATGTATGTATGTATGTAACGCTTGTTCAAATCTCTTTCTTTCTTTCTTTCTTTTAAGGCTTGTTCATATCTCTTTCCTTTCTTTCTTTCTTTTTGCCAAGCTTGTTCATTTCTCTAGAATTTCTTTCTTTCTTTGTTTCTTTTTTGTTTCTTTGTTTCTTTCTTTCTTCCCAGATTGTTCGTTTTTCTTTCTTTCTTTCTTTCTTTCTTTCTTTCTTTCTTTCTAGCTTGTTCCTTTCTCATCTTTCTTTCTTTCCTTCCTTTTCTTTTTCTTTTCTTTCTTTCTTTCTTTACAAGAAGGAATATTGATTAGAAATACGAAAGAAAGTAAAAGAAGAAAAAAAATTCTCGCCTTTCTCTTTCTTTCTTTATGTAAATCTTGTTCATATTTTTTCTTTCTTTCTTTCTTTCTTTCTTTCTTTCTTTCTTTCTTTAAAGCTTGTTCATATCTCTTTTCTTTCTGTCTTTCTTTCTTTCTTTCTTTTAAGGCTTGTTCATATCTCTTTCCTTTCTTTCTTTCTTTTTGCCAAGCTTGTTCATTTCTCTAGAATTTCTTTCTTTCTTTGTTTCTTTTTTGTTTTTTTCTCTCTTCCCAGATTGTACGTTTCTCTTTTGTTTGTTTGTTTGTTTGTTTGTTTGTTTGTTTCTTTCTTTCTTTCTTTCTTTCTTTCAAGCTTGTTCATTTATCCTGTTTTTCTTTCTTTCTTTCACAATCCCAACTGCTAATAGTAAAGTATGGTTCTCAACTAGCATTCGTAAATATCACTTCAATATTCAACACAAGGAGTAGTTAGTCCACTCAGCCAAAAAAAAAAAAAAAAAAAAGACGAAGAAGGTAGATACAGTCAGGACTGACCCCGTTTAATTGGTCATCTCACTGGTATTCCTAACCCAACGGAACATCAAGCAAACCTCCAAGAATCTCTTTCTTGCCCCGACAAAATGCACCGTTGAGGACCTGAAAGCATTTGCTGACACACATTTCACAGGATCTTTCAGGAACACAGTTTCAAATCCTACATTGCGAAAAGACCCCCACCCAGCTTACTTTAAAAACACAGCTTCCAGAATTGTATCCCTCGTCTCATAATAGATTCTATTACCCATTAACAAATTTATCCCCCCCAAACAATACAGACAGAAAGCAAATAACCAACCTTGCTTAATTCTAGAATGTGCTGCAGCCATAGCCTACCGAAACTAATGCTACCATCTATACCACAATGAACGGTGTAGTAGTACTCTTGAGGATTTACGGACTGTCCGACATCAATACAAGATAGAGACCTAGAAAACGCAAAGAGCAACCATAGACCAACAGTCCAAGCTTGGTTCGTGAAAATTCTAGAAAATCAATAATTAGCAATTGCACGTGAAACAAGAACATTGACTTTAATCAAATGCAGATGGTCCATGAATAAATTATTTACCTCTCTCTATGTTCCTTAATGGTATACATGATCATGGCCCTCCACTGCTTTCTGTCTTTTGTTACTCTCAGCAGTATCCCCTGTTTTATGGTTCGTTTTCCTTTGTTGTTCAAATAAATTACTCACTGATTTCCTCCCTCTCTCTCTTTTCCTTGTTTTCATGCGTCCTGTGAGTATCAAATTCGCCAAGACGTTTTTCCTCATTCTGCATCTCAAACATTTCAGCGTTCGCTTTCTGATCGTTATAAATCCCATTTCCCTTAGAACTTCCTTACTTACAGTCAGTTCAAGCCAATGTTGAAAAAAAGAATTCATGTATGTTCTGAAAAATCAGGAATAAAATTCTTAATAGAGGTAAAACATCTGTGCCAGTGTTGTAACGTAGAGAAGGTTACTGAATAGAATAATCACACGAAGGTTGGTAATGAACGATAATACTTAGGACAAGAACAACACATATAATAATATCTTTAATCAATTCTAAGATATAACGGTTCAAATGTTAAGCTAACGTTTTATTGTTTTCTTTCCTTAATAATGTTTTTCTTTTTCTCATATTCTTTTATACTTAGTAATCACTTGCGTCTTAGTGGCTTTATTACCTTCCTTTCGATGAAATTATTTAAAAAGTATTGCGATCTTTTAATCGAATATATGAGAGAAAATTGACGTCATATTCAGAGACATTTGATTAATCATTACCTTCAACATAAGAAGCATTTTATCGTCGCCAACATTTTCTACTTAGCAATGACGTTGCAAATATGGCGGAGGAAGGTGTAAAATTCATTTTCTCACGATTTTTTTTTCTTTCTTTCTTCTTAACTCATCATTTGTAATAAGTTTATTCTTTGTCTACACTTCACGTAACTCGCGTCTCTACAACCAGGCCGCCAACCCACTTTAGCTATATTTACTCTTTCCATCCTGCAAAATACTCCCCTCCTCAGACTTGCCATCTCCCCCGCCCCGACGTCTTTAATACTATATACACACTCTATAATTTTACAGTTTATCGACATCTCGATGCAATCAGAATTGCTGTCTTTAATTCGTCCAGATCCGCAGACAGACTTCTAGCGTGAAACACATTTTTTCCCGAGTCTGACACTTAACAGGGTAGTTTTTAAAAGCTGTAAGTGGTCGATCAGAGAAAGAGGAAGCCTCGCCGTGAAGTAATGGTTAACGAGCTCGTCTCGCCAAAAACATCCTCTCCGAACGTCTCATATTTGTTGTATTGTACGAAACTTTGTGTTGCGTTGAGAAACATGGCCGGCTTTATCTCTGAAGTAGGGATTTCTTATCTCAGTCAAATACTATTAATGACAAGGCCGACGATGAGCGATCTTTTAAACGAATAAGTGCCGGTTAATCGACGTCATAGACTGCTCCTTCCTTGAGAAACATTTTATCATCGCCATTTTTTGAGATCGAATTATTTTTATAATATATATATACATACATACATACATACATACATATATATATATATATATATATATATATATATATATATATATATATATATGTGTGTGTGTGTGTGTGTGTGTGTGTGTGTGTGTGTGTGTTTAGATAGATAGATAATCAGACATACCTACTGATAGTATAGATGTATATATACTCATATATAGAGCGAGATAGATAGATAAATAGATAGATAGATAATCAGACACGCGTACTGATAGTAGAGATGTATATATAGAGAGAGCGAGATAGATAGATAGATAATCAGACACGTACTGAGCGTATAAATGTATATATATTCATATATAGATAGATAGATAGATAATCAGACACGTACTGATAGTATAAATGTATATATATTCATATATAGAGAGCGAGATAGATAGATAGATAGATAGATAGATAGATAGATAGATAAGTAATATAGATTGATAGATATGTATATATATATATATAAGTAATCAGGCAAATAATTGATAGTATACATACTATAGTATATTGTATATATTCATAAGCAGGAGATAGATAGATAGATAATCAGGCACACATACTGATAGTATAGATGTATATATGTTCATATATAGAGCGAGATAGATAGATAAATAGATAGATAGATAGATGATCAGAGATACGTACTGATAGTATAAATATATATATATTCATAGATAGAGCGATATAGATAGATAGATAGATGATCAGAGATACGTACTGATAGTATAAATATATATATATTCATAGATAGAGCGATATAGATAGATAGATAATCAGAGATACGTACTGATAGTATAAATGTATATATATTCATATATATATATGTCTATATATATATATATATATATATATATATATATATATATATATATATATATATATATAGATAGATAGATGAACTGGAGTGTGAGCAAATACTTCCTGTTCTTTTTATTTGCAAAATAATAAATAAACATTTTGCTACTGTTTTTTCAGTCTTTTATTTGCACAAAAAGCAAGGCACTGTGAACTATTGAATCGTATGTAATACATCCATACGAAGATAGATACATTCGAAAGTGTTTTTACAGATCCTTCAAAAATGTTCCCATCTGTGCATTCCCGTTCCCCCCTCCTCCTCCTCCACCGTTCAAGTAAATGAACCAGTTTAAATGGTGGGGAATGGTAGGACAGTTATACATCGTTGTCTACTTTGATGTATTAGACGAGAATTTTTCAAAGGAGATAGAATTATACTATTGAAAGCTCTATCGTTAGGATGAAAGGTGAAGAAAAGTTCTCGACTTTATCAAGAAGACCTTCAAAATACAAAAGATTTGATCCTAGGTCATTTGAACAGATTTTAGGTAAAAACCGATGACGCTAAGATTCTTCCTCTCTTTGACATATATATATATATATATATATATATATATATATATATATATATATATATATATATATAATATCAAATATTGTAAATCAAAATTGTCCAAATTGTAACAGCAAAATTGTCTTATTGTTAGATTAAGATTTGAAACATTGTATCTTGGAAATGACTAAAGATATCTTACAGGAATTCTCCGAAGCTTTTATAACACCATTGGAATCTACTTATTCTACGATAAGAATATATAATTACTCTGCAAGCTTCAGAAAGAATCGTGATGAAATCGATCATAAACTAAAATTAACATGTTCATCATTAATTAATCATAGCTAAGGATCGGAAGCTCATGATGCATTGAAATTAAGTTCAAAAATATATATATATATATATATATATATATATATATATATATATATATATATATATGTATGTATACACACACACACACACACACACATATATATATATATATATATATATATATATATATATGTATATTTGTATTATTCAAGATAATTTTCCAACTTATTCAATATGATCTTCGCCCTCTCTAACCGTCTAAGTTTATGTCCTGGAGTAACAAGGTGCCTCACAGGTTTCCCGGAATATTTCATTTTTAAATCCTTTTTCACTGCTCTTTGGACTCTCGTAGGTGAAACTTCTCTTTCATGTGCCAAACGTCTTATGAATTGAGTTGGATCTTTTCTAATTGATCGCTTCACCTCTAAGTTGAAATTCTGATCCCTCTTGTTGTTGTGACCTCCTGATCCAGTTTTCCTCTCTACTGTTCGCGCTTTTTTTAACTTATACACTGTTCTCTTCATGGTTCTTGAATGGACTTTGAAGATGGAAGCCAGAGTATGAACATTGGTACCATTAGTGAAGGCCTGAATGATCTTTTGCTCTTAGCCTTGCTCAGTTGGCAAGACATAATGAGTCTGGTACAAAACGATTTTAAAGTGTTCACTTTCTAGCAGAATAACTTAAAGAGTTTTTCAGTAATTTTTCAGTGATTCAGTTGGCAAAACGTCTAATCTGAAAACCTGGGAAAAAAAGCTAAATTAGTTTAGTGTTTTTTAAATATTAAATATTTTTTTGGGATGGATAATTATCCTATGTTGTGATTTGGACAATTTTGCCGTATATTTCTTTCCTCATCAGAATCTATCCTACATATCTAAAAGTCTACCATTAACCAATGCTTAGAATATTCCTGCCATATGTGGTCCAGTTCTTCAGGTATTTATCTAGAAATCCTTGTTAAAAAGAATAATCTTACTTATCATAAAACGCAGATTGCGCGCGCGCGCGTGCGTGTGTGTGTGTGTGTGTGTGTCTGTACGTTTATATATTGGATCGGATTTCCTACATTTTTCAACCGATTTCAACAAAACTTCACAGGACTACGTAAAATTACCTTGCGGTGGTTCTGACAGCGCCAAAAATTGGAAAAACACAATTGTTTTTGCACGAAATCAATTTGAAAACACGATAAAACGATTCTGTCGCCAGAATGAAAGGGGACAACTCATATCGAGTTATACTTATAACAAAAACCCAGGTTGTTTCATGGATGGGTGTGTGTGTTCGTTTATATATGGATCGGATTTCCTACATTTTTCAATTGATTTCAACAAAACTCCATTTTTATTTTTTGGCAGGTAGTGTTTCTTATTGTCTTGCACACTTTTTACTTTATTTTTACATTCAGAATGCTTTAAAAATTCCATTTACAAGACAATTGTTTATAATAAAATTCTATTCAATCGATAGACTCATAACGATTGAAAACAATGATTTTGTTTGAGTTTGGGTTTGACCAATTCGTAAAAAAAAACAAATAAACAAAAAAAAAAACTAATTAAGACATGCGTGTCCGTCAACCTTAAACAATAATCTTTGTTAATTTTGTTTTTCAGTCTTTATGATACTTGATCTATCTCTTACTGGGCTCTCCTGCTAGTCTGCAATATTATTAGTCCTGATCTGGCGTCTCGACTTCAGTCGCTTTTCCACCTCTGTAATGTTGTCTTCCTGTACCTTTTCTATAAATACTTTCATGGTAATTGTTAAGATTAGCTCTCCGCTATTATACCTAAAGTTTTTGAATTTAAGCGCAGTACTAGACTGGGGTCGAGATCTCATCAATTTACATTTCACCTAAGCAGATGTAACCGTAAGTTCTATGCTAGCAGTTTCTTCTCTCGCAATTCTCTCTTCCGGCTTCTTGCATCCTAGTTAGCTTTAATCTTCAAAAATTTAAATGCAATGTCAATCGTTATTTTTTAAATTCCTTTTCTATTATTTTCTCTCTTCTTCATAATGTTTTCTTTTTGATTTTATTCTCCCACATTTTGTTACCCTTGGCATTGTATTCGCTTTATTAACATGTTCGGTATGAAGTAATTGAAGAAATGTTTTTTTTTCTTCTTCTGTCTGAGTACTTTCGGCTAGTGTAGGTCATTATCAAAGATTTTTTTCTTGTTATAATATCGGGTTCGTGTTCGATTATCACCAATCAACATAACGGAAAAACAACAAAAAATCAAACCTATAACACAAATAACGACTAAAAGTATGAGAAGCTTTAATAATTGTTAAGGGATCCACCCCTTTTTATACAAGTGGACTCGCCCAGTGTGTACTTGTACTGCTGCCGGTGAATACCCGGAAGTGATACAGTGAGAGAGTGAGAGTGTGAGGTAACCGCTTTGCAGGAGTCACAGTTGCGAGCACGTAGACTCAGAAGGAAGTCCTACTTCGATACTGAATTTCCTAGACTGTATATATATATTATTATTTCTACTAATCGCATTTCTGGATCTACTAACCGTATTACCAATTGTATTATTACGTCAATACATTTATTTGCTATATTTCATTCCTGCGTTTGTCATTCATTGGAGACCGGATTTCATCCCGGAATCCAATACAATAATAAAAAAGCAAACAATCCAAAATCAAGACATCGTATTTAAGAACTAACAAACAAACAAAAAATAATACAAGAATCCA